ACACACACACACACACACACACACACACACACACACACACCCTCAAATACACACAATTAAAACAAATACTTTTAAGTCACTTATTCTTTGGTTAGAATGAGCTATTTTCAGCCACTCTACATGTTCCTTCCTGGCCTTGTCAAACCTAGTACTTGTGTGTGTGAATTCCTAAGCACGAGTCCATCTAACTTTCCCAGCTGTCCTAGAAAGCAAGATGTTTGTAACAATGCTAGGTTTCAATACATTGCTATCTATAATGCGTGCATGTGCGTGCCCCATCCCCGGCCATAACCTGGGTGTGTGCCCTTTTACACTCTCAAACTTCACATTCTCAGAGTTCACACACTTGGCAAGGAAAACAGGACCCATGTAAGGTAATCAGAGAAACACACCTAAGTAATTCAGACCCCTGGGTGGAAGACAGACATTCTAAGATGGGTTGCTTTGTTGAACTAATAAATGCTCACCATATTTAGTGGAGTAAACAAGAAGTGAACCAGATCCGAAGCACTTGGGTTCTGAATGTGAGACTTGAGCTTGGCCTGTGACAGAAGGAAACAAATGCTTTACCACAGTGCAGTCATCCGGGGGATGGACAGACACCCAAGTCCAAGGCAGCCTGGGGAGGATAGTTCTTCCTAGCACACATGCTTAGCAGGCCCCAGCAGCATGGAGAGAACCAGGGGAAGAGTACTTGGCTAAGAAACATAGGCAGGGCTTCTCAGTTAACGGAGTCTCTTCCACACGCATGCCTTGCAATCAGATGTTATAGTTAAAGGTCATTCAAGGTACATTCACACAAATCTACAGGGACAGCTGTATCTCTTAATTCAATTTGCAGGAACATTCTGGCTAGTCTTTGATCTTTTCCATCTGTTTCTTCTAATGATGTATAAATAAAGCCCACCTACCAGAAGGTTGAATCCATGTTTAAACTTCTGGAAACAGTCGACAAATTCATCAGGAGGTGGGGGTTTTGCCCTCAGCGTTAACACACCCTCTGAGGAAATAAAAAACAGCAGAGTGTCGATGAGAACTGATTCACAATAAAGTTTATTAAACGGAAGAAAAAAGTCCACATTTGTGTCCACAGCTGGAAGACTATGCTGGCTGCGGACCTTCACTCTGCAATATCTCTTACTCCAATAAATTCAGAAGGTCTTCAGTTGAGTGTCTCCTTCTACCCTTGGGCACTCCTAGTGACTCAAATCTATAAATATGACTAGAAGTCTTCCTATGTTTCAGGAACTCCTGTCATCATTATAAGGACCATAAAATTGAGTAAGTGACAAGCCCAGCTCTTAATGGCCCTGAAAAATAACAGAGGAAATGAATCAGAAGGGTTTAACAGGTGTATTAGCAATTGAGTGAGAGGGCAGGAGAACGTACTGGTTGGGGGATGGGGAAGAGAATCCTGTAAAGTTCTTTCAAGTAACTTTTAAAATGGGATTTGAAAAGTTCTGCCCACCGACCCCCACTCTCACTGCTGCCCCCAGGATAGTTTGTGGAAATCACATTATAGGATTAAAACAATACATGGAATAAGAGAGAAATTGCATGTACACAAAACAAGTTACATGAATGCAGAGAAACGTGAGAACAGAGGGGCAGAGCCAGCTTAGATGGCGGGTGACCTCGAATGTCAAGGTAGGAAGTGGTGTTTTAATCATAAGGGCTGTGTGTGCTCCAGGAGTGTGAGGACTCCAACTTAGAATTCTAAGAAGGCATTCTATTGGCCGTGGCACACCAGTAACTCTACTTGAGAAGTGGGGCCAGGAGGATCAGGAGTTCAAGGTCATCCTTAATTGGATAGCAATGGTGAGGCTAGCACTATGAGACACTGTCTGAGATTGATTGATTGACTGATTCTCCTCATAGGACAAAACACTTAAGGTTTGAAAACTGCTTCCAAGCTGGGTCACAAATGATGAGTTTCAACTGGATGCTGATAATGTGACTAAAACAATGGATACAGATGAAATTGGGGAAGCTGCTGCAGAATATTTCTGTACACTGCATAAAATGCATTGCAGCTACTCTATTAAGAAATCACAAGAAGGCTGGGTGGTGGTGACGCACACCTTTAATCCCAGCACTTGGGAGGCGGAGGCAGGTGGATCTCTGCGAATTTGAGGCCAGCCTGGTCTACAGAGCGAGTTCTGGGGCAGCCAGGGCTACCCAGAGAAACCCTGTGTTGAAAAAAAGAAAGAGGAAGCTTCATTTCAGAATGCATGCAGAGGAACATCATCCAAATATCTACATCCAGGACAACACTGAAGGCTACACACTCCCTCAAGGGTCTGATAGCCTTAGGAAGCCCCGCTCACCCCAGGGTCTGCACCCCGAGAGTAATGAAGCCCCGCTCACCTCCAGGTCCTTTCTTTTTACTTTTCTTGCTTTTCTTCCTTTTAGAAAGCTCCGAAAATGCTTCAGCTGCTTTTTGGAGTTTTGTGATAAAAAACTCAATGTCATCCAAAATATGGTTTAAGATTTGCTGGAATTAGAAATAATAGAACAAGTTATGAAACAAAGAACGAACTAATTTTGTTCTTGCTGCATGACGCTAGTTAGTTAAGGAGAGAAAATAAATGAGGAAAGAAAATGACCCCTCCCCATCAAGTCAATCATTACATCTAAGAAAACACACACACCTGAATCTCATCTCTATGGCTTTCTTAAGTATAATTTTGCTGCATTTTTCAATGCTATCAGGGAAACATTCACAGCATGCAATCAGATTATTAATTAATTTAAATTACTCTGATTTTCTCGAAGTATTCCCCACACAAACCATGGGGAGGGATTCAGAGAAACTTTTTGTTAGGAGAACACAGGGCATTTTTGTTTTGTAAATAAATGTCCCATAAGTGCTCGGATGAAGCTACTTCATATCCATTAGAGAGTGCTGAACACACAGCCCACGTACAACATGAGGTCCTAAGACGACTGCTCCCCAGAGCAGAACAAACAAACAAATGCACACAAGACTGTTTCCGTCATCTTTCATACTTCAGTCAGCTTTCTCTAACCTGAAATGAAAGATTTTTCATGTTAAAGGACACACCTGACCTCTGCAGGCACCTGCACACACATGCAAACTTATACACATGGTTAAGAGTGAAAATCTTTCAAAATTAAATTCTGAATGTCAGATTCCTTTCAGTGATTTTTCAAAAGAATCTGGGAGCATATACAGTTTAAAAGGTAAACAAATAACATATCTATAATTGACATAGTCACATTGCAAGCTAATGGCTATGAAGAAATAAAAGTAAATATAACATTACTCTCTATAAAACATGTTTACACTTTAAAATTATCCCCTAGTTTTTCCTTTTAATGTATTTTAAAATATGTTTTTCATTTTCCATTTTCATGTGTGTATGTGGTGTGTGTTATTTGCGTATGAGTGGGCTCATCTGTAAACGGGTACATGTGGGCTCGCATACATGCACATGGGTGTGCCTGCACATGGGTGTACATGTGGAGACTCAGTGCTGAAGTCCTGGATCATCCCCTATTCCTCTTTCACCTTCCACTATGAGGCAGAGTTGCTCAAAGATACCCAGAACTTGCACCTAAATGGCTATTCTTTCTAGTTAGCCGTAGCCTACCACACCCATCAGATGTTTATGTGAATGCTAGAGATCTGAACTCCAGTCTTCATGCTCGCACTGCAGGTATCTCTCCAGCCTTAAATATCTTAATAAACCAAAAGAACAAATATTAAAAGGACACCTCAATGATGAATCATAAACTATGAATAAAGGAAAACCACACCTTCCCCCAAACTTTGCTGATTCAGGTTCATTTCTTGTGTAAACTGGCAAAGTTGCTAATATTCTACAGATGATCAAGCCTAGCTAAACACTAGGAGAGCAGGACAAGTGGCTGAGGAAAAACTCAAGGAGAGAAAATACGTTTCTGCAAAGCGGTTTTGTTAACTCCCTTTGGTCTCTCTGTCCCCCCTTCACCAAACAGAAGTGCCTATACTCACCACATCCCTGTCGATCCGGGCTGCCACCATCTCAGGAGTCTCCTCTTGCTCCTGATACTGCCGGGGCTTCTCAACTAAACAGAAAGGAGAGCTGTAAGACCTCCTGTGTTTGTTAAAACATGACCGATCCAGAAATGGAAATGTGAAAACAATGAGAAAAGAATTTCAGTTGCTGCGGGTGGGGGCTCTCTGGAGCAAACTGGTCAAAGATGACACTAGTGGCCTTGTGTGCTCTGCCCTTGCTACAGTCACCAGGAGGCACGGGAAAACCTAGACGACTGGCCTGCCAGCCTATGTGAGGTTCATCCACTGGTTATACCCAATCTCTTCTCCCTCTCCTCCATCTCAGCTCTCAATAAAGCCAGCTCTGACTCAGCACTCCACCTTCTACAGAAGACACAAACCAGCCCTAAAGCATCCCTTGTGAAATAGCGATGAACTAAGTTCCAGTGAAACAGGCTGCTAGTTTCTCGTGCGCGCGCACGAGTGTGTGTGTGCGTGTGTGAATGTGTCTGCATGTGTGTAACGCCAAAGGTCAATCTTCATCTTGCCCCACCTGTCTTTTGAGACAATTTCTCACTGAACTGGTCATTTCCTGGAGGAAGCTTGGCTGTCTAGCAAGCCTTAGGGATCTCTTTCTTGTCTTCCCTGTCCCCAGGCTGGGATTACAGACAAATGCCATTATAACTAGCTTTTCCCCCCCGGAGCGCTGGAAATGAAATTCAGTTCCTCATGCTAGTGTGGCAAGCGTTATCCCAACTGAGTCATCCTCACAGCCTGGGCTGCTAGTCCCTCCACATTCCAAGCCTGTGACTACAAAGGAGCTCTTCAGTTCTGAGAGTCCAACGACTTCTCAATTCTTGTAAGCAAGCATAAAACCCACAGCATTTGGTTTATTGACCTTAAATCATATGCCTTGAAATAAATGCCTTCAGGAATCTGCAACACCAAGAACACACTTCTCAAAAGCATTCAGAATGCTAAGGCGGCTTAGACGTGCATGCTCAACCACGAGATCTCCATCTCGGACCCCATCGTGAGGTGAGTCAGCGCTATGGCAACGTTGACAGCTGGAGCAAGTATTTCAAAGGCACACGGCTGGGACGGGAGCAATAGATCACAGGAGTGGGGACACAGCTCGTGATACATCATCATGATTCAACGAGGTTTAGGGCAGAGAACTGGCAAGACATACGGAAAACTCGGCATTTCAATGCCTCCTTTACGCTAGCAAGGCCCAGACACGGAGTGTGAGCACAAAGAAAAAGGAATCCCCAGGCCATATGAAACTGCATTATTAGATAGGATTATTCAAGCTCCTTAATTTATGTGTAGCAGAGCTTGCCAGATAGCTGTTATTTTATACAGGGCTGCTGCTTGCTTGATACAGTGTTAACACGGAAGGCAGGAACCGAATTTGAAACATAATCATTAGGAACTCTAAAGAGGGTCAAGTGTAGGGGCTCTTCCCGGCAATCCCAGTACTCTGGGAGCTGAGGCAGGGATGTAATCAGTTCAAGACTAGCCTAAGCTACACAGCGACACCCCTGCCCCCAGCACTCAGGGCCACACAGGAAGACTATGTCTCCAATGAGGAAGAGAAGGGATCTCTGAGAGACCCCACATCATCATCTGGGGGCAAAGTGAGCAGAAGGCACTTAGTTTCAAAATATTTGGGGGTCTCGGGTACCCTGCCGCCATTCTGGTAAACTCACTTTTGGAAAACAGGGTCACTCCACCTCTGCTTTCTCAGGGGCAGCAGTCGGGCTGAACACAAACCCTCTGAGGGAGCAGAAAACCCCTTCAGGGGATTCCCAGTGAGACTCTTGGCACTCACACAGAACTTTGTACACCATGTCTTAAGTTCTGTCTGAACAATCGGTAAGCTAGAATTTGAACTTTATCTCTGTAATTCTAACAGGTGACAATGCCAGGAAAATTTTACACAAATCCAATGAGAGCTCAAAAATATCTGGGCATAAATTCTTTTACTATAATATTATATTAGGTTTCATATATGCGCCCACAACTCTACTTCAGATGTCTTTAACTTAAGATGTCTTCTCTTCATGTCAGACAATTTTGACACCTCCCTCTTCCTCCCTCACCCCCCCCTCTCTCTCTCTCTCTCTCTCTCTCTCTCTCTCTCTCTTCCTCTCCCTCACACACACATACACACATACACAACAACAACAACAACACAACTATCCAGACCCCTTCCAGCAAAACCCACCTTAAGACCCATCTTTCAAAAACCAGTTTGAACACAAAGAGAACTGGTAGACAACTATGTAACTCCTAGAGCAGAAGTTGATAACATGCTTTGGCAGTGATGCTTATGTTCCTATGCTGGGTAGGATTACAGGATCACTTGCTTTTGGAGTCGCAGAAGCCTGTGAGTCATTATGCCCACTTTACAGGTGAGGCCAAAGCCTGGAAAGACAATGGTCATATGGGTAGAGATCCAGTTCTTATTTCAGGTCTCGGCTTTTGACCCACAGGATTAAAAGTCTGTTATTAAAGACACGACACACTTGAGTCATACTACATGGAGACACCAAGCCAGAAGCTCCTTCTCCACCTGTAGCATGTAGAGTTCCAGAAGGTGCCAGGCAGGCTGACGGGGGAAAGAAGTGTGCAACAGTCTTGCCCGGCTGTGAATCTATGAGCTGCAATGACCATCCAGACACAATGTGTCATTTAGTCCAATAGTGGCATAGGCATTGCAGGGGTCACCAACCACTTTCTGCTTGGAGATGAGGCCTGCTCCAGAGATGGGAACTCACACTTGGTTCTGGAAAGCTGGCCAACCGCCCATGGCTGGGGAAGTCCTAGGCCCTGGTATGGAGCATAAGACTATTGTTTTGCTAAATGGCTGTATTATCTAACAGCATCCTAAATATCCATGTTTCATACTCACAGAATAGGGGTGTACCAAGCCTTCATCAGAGAAGCTGTGACATGTGGTGGCTCATGCAGAAAGGCAAAACTGGCCAAAGCACTAAGAATAAGTGATGGTGGAAATGCTTGGCTCTAAATGGAACAGCTGTTATCTGCAGAGGGCCTCGGCACTGTACAGCAGTGACAACTAGTATTTAACAAGTAGGCCCACTAGACGTTGTTGGAGAGTCCTGCTTGGCAAAGCCAACTCACCAGGTGTTATTCAGGACCCCCACTTGGCAAAGCTGTGGTTTTGATGACTGAATGACTGGCTGTTCCTGGAACTTTCTCCGGTACCACTGGTAGGCCTGCCTAATAAGAACAGCTGTGGTGCCGTGTTTTATACATTTAACTGTGGATGGCCAGAGATGATTTTCTGCTTAAGTTGTATAATATTGGTGAACAGAAATAATACTTGGATGTTTTACATTACTCAGACTGACATAGTATTCTCAATCACACACAAAAAAGCTAACTTTAGACATCCGAGTAAATTCAAAGCAGTCTGGTTGCCCCTGGAGACGATATCTGGTTGCCCCTGGAGACAAACACACAAGGTCATTCTCCCAGGTGATGTTTTGCTGATTCAAAGCCAGAGCTTGAAACAACTTCAGTCTGCACGTAGTCCCAGTCTCAGGCTCAAGGTCCAGCTAACTAATTGTCTTGATTTCCAATGTCATTTTCTGTCTGGGAACCCTCACCAACTTAGAGCTGAGTGCATGGGTCACTGTGACATTCCTAGCCTGAGAGAAACGATGTGACTTCACTTGTGTTTTGAGTTTGGGTTGGGCCCTGAAAAACAAAGTATAATTGTCCAGAGTTCGGCTGTGAGAGAAAGAGACAGCATAGAAGAGGCAGGAGACAGAGCAGGGGAGCAAAAAGACAGAGAATGAGAGCAGGGGTGAGGGGGGGACAGAGGGGTGGAGAGGCAGAGAGTGAAGGAACAGCAGTGAAAGACAACAGAGGCAGAAGGCAGAGACGTAGAGAAGGCTGCTATGGGAGAGAGAGAGGGGTGTGGGAGCTGAAGAAGAAGCACGAGAGAAATGTGAGAGAATGAATGAGTAAAGAATGAATGAACGATGCAGAAGTGTGTGTGTGTGAGCGAGTGTGAGAGAGAGAGCAGTGAGTGAGATGCGTAGCTATGGCTGTGGAGACTTGTGGCTGTAACTGAATATAAACGTATGTGCTGGGCAGGAGAGAAATGTTCATATAAAAAGAGAGATTGTCAAGACTGCCAAAGAATGAAGTAAAAGAGAAGGTTACCAGAGGAATGTGAGCGCTTGTTCCTTTTTCCTTAGACGAGCAGAGGAAAGTGTGTGCTTGTTTATTTTCCCCTCAGATAGAAAAGTCTAGTGACCCTGAGATAAGACTCTTTTCTGCCACTCTGAGGCATTCTCTTCATTACCCTGGAGTGGATGGGGGGCAGGGGGCTGTGCCCCTATGGTCCACGATATGTATTGGTTCCTACAAGTCTCAGGAAACATTATCAAAGGGGCAGAAAGAACACACGAGCCAGAGGATGGAGAGATGGGTGGCAAAGAGATGCCTTCTGGACAAGACATAGCTGACATACTCGTGAACTCACAGCGGCTGTGATTATCTGCACAAGACAGTCCATCACCATGGATGGGGGCTCTCAGGAGGTCTATCCCGTGAGTGACCATTGCTGTTAGTGCATTTGGGAAAGGGGCTGTCACACTTTCTCCACTGGTATAGCCACTGATACATTTTGCTCCAGCAAAGAAGCCCCCACCTATGCTCATCCAAGAAACTCTAATTAAACTCAGTGGCCACATGCAAAAAACAGACATGGAAGTAGGGAGGAACTGTGGGGGAGGAAGGTTTCAGTGAGAGAGGGGGGGAGGTGAGTGAGCAGATTAGGGGTAAAATGACTAAAACTTCTTATACAAATGTACAAAGAACCCATCAAACAAAAAAAAATAGTAAAAATATTCACAGTCTAATGTAACTCATCATGACAAATGACTTATATTGCTGGCTATCAACCATTCAATTGAATAATATTTGGTTGGATAAAAGATAAATAATTTACGAAGTACCGCCAGGGAAATGGGGAGGTAGCTCAGTGGGTTGAGCATTTGCCACATGGGTGTGAGCACAGTTAAGAGCCCTAACACTGACGTAAGTCTGGGGCTGTTGTTGGACAGCAATATCAGCACATGAGAAACAGAAGCAGAGGATCTCTGAAGCAGGCTGGTGATCCAGACTGTCTGAAATGCTGAGCACTGGGTGTAAGTGAGAGACCCACCTCACTCTATCAGGTGGAGAACAGGAGAAGACACCCAGTGTTGACCTCTGACCTCTACATGCACACATGCCCACACACATGCAAACATGCATGCACAAATGCACACAGACCATACACACATACGTTAAAAAAAAAAAAGCTGAAGTCCCTCTGGGCATGAGGTAAATCTTACATTTAAATTTGCTAGATCACTCCTGGAAATTAGGAAAATGGACCAACTATATATTGAGTCATTAAAGTTCCCAGACTGCAGTAAAATATGATGACATTAAAAAGTTACATTTGGGCCAGTGAGACGGCTCAGCAGTAAACATGTTTGCTATCAAGACTCACAACCTGAGTTCAGTCTCCAGGACCCACACACTGGAAGGTAAAAAATGAGGTCCACGTGTGTCATCTGAGCTCTACACACACGGTGGCATGCTTGCACTCACACACATACATATATACAACAAATATATATATTTCAAATTTTACTTTTGGGTAGGTCCTTTGTCCCTGGCACAGTCTATACTAACACCCTTTCTATGAACACATAAGAGCTATCCAATGAATAGAAAGAGTCTGAAGCAAAATATTTAGAAAAGAAAAACCCCAATTGGCTTCTCTTTAGTGTACATTCTATTGTCATGTTTGTCATTGTGAGTCAAGTAAAATTTTCCTCTCTTGGTATTAAAGAAATAACTGTAATCCAAATAGAGTACCTATTATATGGCTGGCATGAATTCTCGGGGATAATAACCTTAACTGCAATCAAGACTTAACTTTCTAATATCTAAGATTTAATCCCTTAAACCAACGTGAGAACTTGAAAGAGTGAATGACACCACAGCCCAGCGTGGATCCTCAGTAGAGTTAGCTCTGGATACTTACAGTCACCCTGGTCAGCTGCCCAGGCAGACCAAGCTGCCACTCTGCTTCTAACATCCACCTGTGTGACAGTCCCTGGTGGTGCAGGGGCGGGAGCTCTGGGAGGAGGAGGGATGCCAGGCTCTGCTTTGGCAATCATCCTAAAAAAATGAAAAACAAATTGGGCTTTACAATCTCTGTTTCCGTAACAGTAGTTCTCTCAACTGGTGGCATTTGCCCTTTACCCTCAGGAGTAACTGTCAAGGAAATAAAGATTCCCAACCAACTCCATCGTGTCTGCTTATAAATTCCTTAAGACACAGAAAAATTAAAGTTCTATGGGAAATCACAGTGAATTTCTCTCTAGGTCCTACGAGATTTGAAAAGCCTGTGGGCACATGATTTATACATGGGGTGTCCTTGGGTCATCTCTTAAAACACCACACATCTTCTATAACTGTGCGGGACTTTTGCACCTGTATGAGAAGCTGTGTGGGAGACAGAGCTGACACATGGAGAGCAAGAAGGGACACATATGGGCTGACAAGCCAGAGAGAGCAGATGAATTGAGACAAAAGGCTATAATCTGGGAAGCAGGCTAATTCACCTCTTCATTTCTGAAACCCTTCAGGAGAAAAAGAGCAGACATACCCTCTAATTCCCATTCACCAGTTCCTTTTAATGCTCTTACCTCAGGGCCTCCGGCCGCTTCTTCTGTTTCCCGCCTTTACTGTCATTGATTGCACTCTCAATATCCTCACTAATTAGGTTTGCCTGCAAAGAGAGATCCGTTATACGGAAGGCTTATCTGAGTTTTGATATAAAGATTGAAACAGAAAAATAAAAAGATTTATAGTTTCTGTTTGCATCAGTTCAGTATCTTGGTGTACCTTTTTTTAAAAAAAAAAAAATCAGCCTTAAAAATATGACTCTGGGGCTGGAGAGATGGCTCAGAGGTTAAGAGCACCAGCTACTCTTCCAGAGGACCTGAGTTCAATTCCTAGCAACCACCCGGTACCTCACAACCATCTGTTATGAGATCTGGTGCCCTCTTCTGGTGTGCAGATAGACATGGAAGCAGAATGTTGTATACATGATAAACAAAATCTTTAAAAAAATATGACTCTGGTTTTAAGTGGTGAATTTTATAATAACACAATCAAATACTGATTTTTAAGGTTAATCTAAGTCCAGTTTCCACTTAAAAATTCCTGCCCAAGAGCCCAGTATGAAGAGACAAATGCAGAAAGGACATGGGTGATTGTCTCTGCTCGGTTAGGAAGGAAGGAATTGGGTAAAGATGTGTGTGGCTGGTGGGTCCTCCCCCTCTTCTCCCTCCCCAGGAGCAGCTGTTAACTCCCGGAAATAATCACTAAGTTCAACACAGACCCTGAGCTAACGGTAAACCTACTCATATGTTTTGGGTCTGCAGTGTCCCTCAGATCCACTTGTTGAAGACCCAAGCCCTCAATTGGGAGGAGGTAAAAGCAAGAGAAGGCATTGGGTGGTACCCATAAAGAGGACATTGGGATTGCAGGATACTTCCTGTCTCCCTCTTTTCACTTCCTGTTTTCCATGAAGTGAACAGCAATTCTACCACACACTTCCTCCTGCCATAGACTTTTCCCAAAGGCCCAAAGGCAATGTCCCAAATAACCAGGGACTGAAATCCCAGAAACCACAAGGAAAGCAGACCTCTCCTCTTGGTAGTTTTTCAGCTCGGGTGGTGATGGAAAGCCCTGACAGTTCTCCATTCACAGGCTGAATCTCAACTCTAGATTGTATCCATTTTCATAGCCACTGTATTTTTCCATTTTAGGTAAAATTAACTGTCTGCCACCATCATTCTTCCCACAAGACCAATGATTAGATTTTCTTGGGAAACCATGCTAGGTTTGTAGCTAAGGTGTTACTAATTTTACTTGATTATGAAATTTATTTGTAGCCAGTAATTACAGTATATGAGGTTGTTGCTCGTGCATTCATCTTCTATTTTTGTGCATGCTTGCTCTGTGTAATTATGTATATTTTTCTCAGATATATGAGTCACATATTCCTCAATAGTAAGCACTGATGAGTATAAAAATTTAGAACTGATGGGAATCTTTAAGATCATCTAGTCTATTTGGGGGTAGGAGGATGTGTGTGTGCACGCAGGAGGGACATCCGATTAAGTCAGAGGCAATGTTCCTCATCTTGTACCATGACTGAGGCTGAGCCCTTTGTTGATCACCACTGCAGAAGCTGGGCCAGCTGGACTCGGTTGGAGAAACTCTGCCTGTGTCTCCCATCTCCCTGGAGTTGTGTGAGGAGCAAGCACAGGTGCACACTGCCACAGCTGGCTTCACACAGGTTCTGAGGTGCAAGTCTTGGTTCTCAGACTTGTGCACCAAGCATTTCATCTACTGAGCCATTTCCCCAGTCCTTGTTTAAAGTTAATGCTCTGAGGAAAATTAGGGGAAATGCCTGGCCTGAACCATGTTAACAGTAAGATGACACTGCAATGGAGCATCCAGGGACAGTTCCTTAGAACATTTTAGTTCCAACAAGATGTCCAATGTAAGGCCAAAGGCTATACTATATGGAGGATTAAAACTGGAGGTGTCTAACTTTGAACTTCTATAAAAAAATGTTACCATCCCAAAGGAGCCCAATGTACCATGTGGCAACCCACCATAAAACTTTAAATTCAAAAAGTGCTAGCACAAGATGTTGCACACACGAACTAGTTACATCACATACCAGGGTACTTAGATTTTTGAATCAGCAAGGAAAGCATGCGTTGGGGAGGGAGTGTGACATCAGTGAGTGACTGGGTTTCATTGTTTACGTGGCTGTGAGTTTTTCTAAGAACACAGAGCATTGTCCAGAAAATCCACTTTGAGCCACCACTATCACAGTCCAATAGAAGAGGAAAGCCCATGATCCTGAAGTAACTAACAGCTCTCAAACATGACATAAAAGCATGGACATAAACAAATATAGATAGATAGATAGATAGATAGATAGATAGACAGACAGACAGACAGACAGACAGACAGACAGACAGATACCCATCTCCTCTGAATTAGGCCAGCAAGATGGTTCAGTGGTACTTGTTGCCAAGCCTGACAGCCTGAATTCCATCCCTGGAACTCACATGATAGGAGACAACCAACTCCTACAAGAGAAGAAGGAGAGGAGGACTCCGGGGGCCAGCCACACAGCCAGCCACAGAGTAAGAGTAAGATATACAGAAGGAAAACGCCCAAAGGCAAAAGGTAGATGGGATAATTTAAGGAAAGTTGGCTAAAACTCAGTCAAGCTGAGGCCAGCCATTCACAAGTAAGAATAAGACTCCATGTATGATTATTTGACAGCTGGGTGGTATGTCCCCTATAGAGTCATAGAGCACAAAGAGTTAAAAAAAAAAAGAAAAAAAACTACCAACAACACCCACCATGACGGACTCCTGTCCCTCTGAAACCATAAACCCAAATAGACCCTTTCTTCTCAGACGTTGATTTTGGTCAGTGTTTTATCAGAGTAACAGGAGAGAAACTAAGACAGGTGCCAATCAACCAAAGGTAATTTCTCTTTTAGAGAAACCAACTCACAAAATAAAGACATCCAATGTTAAAGATAAATTCTGAGGTTTAATAAAGCACCACAATTTATAATCATCTATAAATTATAGCATATACTAAATATAAATTTGGGGGGCTCTAACCTATTATTATTGGTAACTATGTTCAATTATTTCCCATTGCACAAAGGGATTACAAATCCTGAGCAATTTTTCAAGTTGCATAATTAAATGGCAAATTTAACATCAATGCCATGGGACATCCTAAGTATCTCACAGAAGGAATACAAGCTCTGAGGTTAGCAGAGAACAAAACAGAATTGAACTATAATCATTTACTGTCTATTTATGCAGCGTGTTTTGTTGTTGTTGTTTTATTTTGTTGTTTTGCTTTAGTTTTTCCAGGCAGGGTTTCTCTGTGGCTTTGGAGGCTGTCCTGGAACTTGCTCTTGTAGACCAGGCTCGAACTCACAGAGATCTGCCTTTCGCTGCCTCCTGAGTGCTGGGATTAATGGTGTGCACCACCACCGCCTGGCTTATGCAGCATGATTTTTAACAATCAAATTTTAATTATATGTGCAAAGCTCCTGATAATTTAACACATCACCTATACTTTGCAGAGATAAACAACACATCTATGTTTGACAGTTTGAGACAGGGTCTCACTCTGAAGGCCAGGCTGGCCTCTACTTTGCCATAATCATCCTGCCTCACCCTCCTGAGTGGTAGAATTACAAGTAGGAGCCATTATGCCACACCTTGAGTTTTTAAAAATAGTAACCATATTTCCTCTTTTGTTTAACCAAGTGGAAACTTAAGGAAGACACTGAGGTACTTGTTTTCTTTATCACATTCTCAGACTCTTAAACCCTAGCACCTAATAGCTGTATGACTTGTCATTTGAAAGCTGCACAACATTGCATAAGAGGATAGGGGGATGACCTGGGACCTGAGCGATGCCCTGCAGAGGATGGGAATTTGGCACCTAGCATCCACATCAGGCAGCTCACTAAGGCTCATGATTCCAGTTCCTAGGGATCTGACACCCTCTTCTGGACTCTCTGGGTACCTACACACACACATACACACACACAGAAAGAGAGAGAGACAGAGACAGAGACACAGAGAGACAGACACAGAGAGACAGAGAGACAGACACAGAGAGACAGAGAGACAGATACAGAGAGAAAGAGAGACAGAGAAAGACAGAGAGAGAACAGGGAAGTTGATTCACTCTTTTACCTTAACCTCATCACACTGGAAGAGATGAAGATCCGGCTTGCTCTGGGTTGGTTCTTTGCACACCAAGGCAAGAATGGAATCATAGCTGCATGAATGCGCCACAGCTTGGCAATGCTGGATTGTGCTTAAGGGGAAATTCTCCAATTCATTCTATCAAAAAAAAAAAAAAAAAGGCAAATGTTTGGTATTGTCAAATTTCCAAGCATGCTCCACTCCCGAAGAATAAAACAACATAGGTTTCGCACACTTGCCTTGGATTCTAAGTCAATCAGGCTCACAGCTCGGTCGTCTACTTGGAGAATCATATCTTGAGTCCATACTTTGCCCTTGGCATCAAGCAACTTCAGCTTTCTGATTCCGTCATCGACAGTTATCATCGCATCTTTCCGGTCCAGCACAAAGGTGGTCAGGTGCTTTCGGTCAGCAAAAAAAGAGAAGAAAAGAGAAACTTTAACACACAGACAAACCCTTCTCTGTGGATCCTTTCCGGAAGGAAGAAGAATTCACCCAATGGAACTCAATTAGCAGCGAGTCCCAGGATGAACACAGTACACCACAACTTCAGTTACTCCACAGAGAGGACAGAGTGGAACACGGAATGTGATATCTTGACTTGTAAGATCTCTAAACCTGCTTCACGCTGAGTCACATGGCGCTACAATAGCATGGTATAAAAACAAATACTCCTTAACTTTGCTCAGATAGCTATTTAAATGTTGCATAATCGAAACATTCCCAGTGGCGGCGGCATACTCAACCCCTACCCCTGAGCATCAGCTCTGGTTCTTCTGTTTTACCGAAGCTGCCAAGTTTGCCCTCTCCTGCAGCCACTTTACTGAAACGAAGTGGTTTCCATTTAATTAACCACTCTCATGAGATAAGCAGAAAACTGCAACTTAAAAATGATGCCCCAGCTTACATATTTTCAGCTGTAGACTGGGGTCGTTTTGATTCCAGCTAAGAGCAAATATCTCCGAAATTGAAAAGCAACTAGTGTTTAATAAGAGCTAATCATGACATTAGATAAAACTAAATATAAAACTGAGCAACTCAGTGTACCAAAGCTTAATTTCAATGTAAAATGGAAGCCTTTCTCTTGTTTTAACTGGGCTGGTAATGGCTGTTGTGATTTTAATGTATTTATCATGAAACTAGAACATAAAATTTCCCAGTAGTTTTTACACGTTAACATCTCAGTTTTACAAAAAAGAAAAAAAAAAGTCTAAAGGAAAGATCCATACAACTTAAAATACATCCTATTCGAATGAACTGAAACACAATTCTTATTTTGCTCCCCGTGTTTCTGCCCCTTGAGAGTCACCCTATGTATTGGCAAGATCGCAGTTTCTCACCTCCACGCGGTACTGAGACACATCTGACACACTGCTGACGCTGTCTCGGGCATAGTGCTTCCTTTGCTCTGAAAGAGAAGTTTTGAAAAGCCATTATTTAGCTACTAATAGGCTTGAGTTCATATGTTGGAGTCACATGGCACCTCTAAGGCTAGTCTGTCTCACATGTGAATACACAGGCTGACAAGTCCCCATTGTTCCCTGTGTCTGAAAGAGACTCCCTATTCACAGGCAATCCCAAGGTCACGAGAAAGACTAACAACATGCAAGAATCCTTGGACCCAACTGCAATCTTCAGAGTGCCAAATGTTAAGATTATAAATGCCCTAGGTTTTAAAGATTTTTTAAAGATCATGTATATGCAGTTATGTTTGTGAGGATATATGCTCATAAATGCAGGAGCCCAAGGAGGGCCAGAGAAAGTCACTGATCATCTGGAGCTGGAGTTCCAGGCAGCTGTGAGCTGTCCAGTGTGGTTGCTGGGAACTGAACTCTGGCCCTCCACAAGAGAAAGATATACTCTTAACAGCAAAGATGTCACTCCGGCCCCCACATTATCAGTATTCTATGAGAAAAAATAAAAAAAAACTTAATGTATAGGCTTTAAAAAAATAAGGTACCTACTACTCTTTATGAAAAAGATTTTAAAAAAAACAGGTTGCAAATTTCCTTTGTTGATGCACTACGGTCAAAGTACAACTGCAAATCCTGCCGTAGGTACTGGATTACATGAGGGAGGTGACACGTAATAGACACCGCAAAGACCACCTCCATTCACAACTCCCAAACTGATTCAATCCCCAGGATTGTCACAAACTAACGACTGCCACACATCAGTAGGACACACAATTGAGATATTCAGAGTTGCAGAGACATGCTGATAAGGAAGATGAGGCAGCTGGGTAGGCAGCTGCTACATCAAACTACTCAGCGGCAGAGGAAGCCTTTCCTTTTGAGGATGCTGCAAAACCAAAAGTAAGTAAAGCCCAAGAGTATCAATGTTTGGAAATTTCCAATCGAGTAATTAATTTATTTGGAGATTGTTTTATTTCTTCTAAGGCAGATTGCTTGGATGGAAAGGAACATAGTGGGTGATCAGGGGGCTCTGTGATTCTAAACGTAGCTCTGAGTTGTTCCTAAATAAGAAACTAGATTTAGGCAAGATTCTTAATGGCCTGGGTCTTGGAGAGCTTACTGCAAAATAAAGGGTTAATTAAACAAGTTAAAGGTAAAATTCCTTAAAGCCTTAAAGTTTTGGCATACTAAGTGTTTGCCTGTGTGTGTGTGTGTGTGTGTGTGTGTGTGTGTGTGTGTGTGTGTGAGTGTGTGTATGTGTGTAGATATGTCATATATATTGTCATACATAAAATATCTATATAAATACAAACACTAGATATGTGTTAGCTTTCCTACCAGCCAGCATTTTCTAACTCTAAACATGTTTCTTTCCACTCTCAGATGTCTCTATAATGAAAAGGTCTGTAAAAATTGATGGGAGACCAAGTAGAAAACTACAAAGTACATAGGCAGACACAAAACATTAAAATCCAATGTTTTTAAAAACTTGATGAAGGATTGATTTGCAAATATATGAAAGCAGTAATCTTTCCATCTACATTTACCCAGGAAAACCTCCATGTCCCTCTTATTGTCACTCATGTTGTCCCGGTCTATTCTGGTTTTGCTTTTGCAGCATTAAAGTGACTCAAGAAAAGCACACACACCACAAAATTCAGCTGCGGCTACCTTTCTTTTTTTGTTTGGATGATGATCTGAAGAAGTACGCTCCGTCTGTTCCTACCAAAATAACGTGGTCACAAGAAAGGTCTGGTTTCACCTACAATTTTTTTCCAGTATTACAAAGCACACCTCTTCCCCGTGACTGTATCTCACATATGAAACAAAGAGACCCATGGTTTTCTAGTCACTGCGGATTAATGTGGGATACTAACACAGGGGCAGCTGTTCTTGCGGAGCCCTCTGTAGCACATGAACCACAATGCACAACTCATGAAGATGTCTAACAAGAACACTCTAGAAGGAACCACTACTTCAAAGTCACAGGTTCTCACTCTACTCTCTGGTGCAGCCTCAGAACATGAGACCAGTTATCTTCCTCCAATTTGACCTGTGGATAGCAGAGGAAATGGCAGTGGTTGCCATGGTACCTGATGACAAGATGATACGGTGGCTCAAGCATATCCAAATGCTTGACTGGGTCTTCCAGATAAAATGATTGGCAAACACAGGTAAAGGCCAAAATACTACATAGGTTTTTTGTTTTGTTTTTTTAATAATGAAGAAGTAGAAATTCATCCTAACCCTAACACAGTATTTCAACCCCAGGAAAACATAATGTATGGGAGAAGAAAATGATTCCTGGTGATGGCAACTGCCCCTTCTGATGGACTGCCGGAGGGGAGCTGCCATTCTACTATTCCTAGCTTGCTTTCTCCACCATGCTTCACAATGGATAAGGCATATGTCATAGAAAAGTACCTTAGAAGGACCCTGAAAATGTATTAATGTCATAAAAATGACTTAGAAAAGAATCCTGGTGACATAAAGTCAAGAGATCATGTTCAGTATTAACACTTTAATAGGCAATTTTGAAAGCCAATGGTAGTGCCTTTCTTGATGAGAAGCCTGTATACTTACATGTTCAGTGGTTAATAGCACTCTGAAGGCTACTACAGCACTCTGGATCCTAAGCTGAGAACTTACAAGCCTCAGAACAGCATGAGAAACATGAAAGAAGGCTTCCAATGAAGCCATCAAGAGGAAGCCACAGAGAATCACCACTTTCTCAACAACGGTTCTCATCCGTGGCTGCCAATGACTGAGGGCTTTAAAAACCCCTTATGAGCTCCACCCTAGAGAACCCCATGTACTGGTCTAGGGTTCATCAGGCCACTGGGATTTATAAAGCTCTCAGAGTCATTGTGACATAGAGTCTGGGATGCAAACTTTTGCCCCAGAACCCATAACAATGCTAACTCATCAGTTGTGTACTCCATGAGAGACAGCATGGCTGTTCATGTCAGAAGGCACAGTAAATAATCAATGAATAAATCTGGGTTTGGAGCTTTTCAACTGCTCATACAAAAGCCAGTGTCTCCCTATCACCCACCTGCCTCTCTTTCCCTTTCTGCTTTCTCTCCCCACTCCCCCACACCCGACTTTCTCTATCTCAAAATAAATTATACCTGAAATGGACTCTTACCAGCCAGAGCATGGCAAACATGGCTCTGACAAGCCCTCTGCCTTGATAAAAACTATTAGATTACACTCCTAAAGCTAGCCACCAAGGTCTATTCCCTTATTTGGCCACTTCCTCCTCCTGAGGCCGACTACCAAGGTCCTGCTATGAAAGTATTCAAATCCAGCAATGAAAAGCCCCTTCTTCGATGCCCCAATTAATATGCCCAATTAAAACAAACCAACTCCTCCTAACATTGGGTTTCCCCCTTTCCCTTTATAAACTGCCATTCACCCACGGGCCACATCTCTCTTTATACAGAGGCAGTCCACTGACATGCCCACACACACACACAGAGACAGACAAACATCCCCCTCTCCCTTGTTCTTTCCCCCTTCTCCCTTGTCCTCTACCTCTGGTCTTTGTCTTTTATTCCCTGCCCTTTGTCTCTCTGGGGCAAATAAATCTCCTTGTGCTGAGAACGTGATCTTGGGGTGTCTTGTGCTGACACTGGTCCCATTAAAACCTAAGAACAACTTTATTTTCTTTAAGTAACACTATTTGTGTCCCACTATTTATTTATTTATTTATTTATTGACATTAGCTTTAATCCCATAGAACCGAACACATTCAGACAGATTCGATTTAATAACCAATGAGAAAGCTCTTTGCCGATCATTTGAGCACTGAGCTGATATACTCTCACACAAACTGATAGCAATCATGAGGCCAGAAATATTACGCTGCAGGTTCATTTAACTGTTTAGTTTGCACAACTGCATCTACTCAGGTAAGTGGGCATTGGCAAAGCTTATTTTTACCTTCTTTGTTCTACATTTAAAAGAGCTAATATTCAGACACACAGCTAAGACTGTTTACTTTTCCTTTCTCTAAAAAGGCTTTGCTCAGAAAGTTAATGCCTGGACCATTAAACAGAAAACATAACAAGCAACAGCTGCAGAGAGTGTTTTGATCTAAATAAAACTAGGGGCTGCACTTCATATTGCCATATTCTTAACAGCAGCAAAATTTCAACCAATAACAATTCTAAATAGCTTCAGGAAGTCCCTGAAACTAACCAGATTCACTAAGCATCTCCCTGTCAAAATAAGCAAGAAAAGCTGAAATTCCCGCTCAGGGGAGCAAGGCTGAGCTGCAAAAGAGGCTCTCGGACAAGCCAAGCAGTCTCTGAGACCAGACCAGCTGCCTGGAAGAAGCAGACACCAGCTGAGCTGCCTGGAAGAGGTTTAGACAATGAGGCACCTGGAAGGATGCTCTCCAACCTGTTGAGCCACCTGCAGCTGTGCAGTGTGCTCCAGGTTGGTCTGTCAAGGGTCCTTTATCGGTGTAAGCAGACATCTGGTATAAGTAGACAAGTGCGATGCATCTCCCCATGTGCGCCTCCAGCCTGCAGAGGCTACAACAGAGTATTGGACCTCTTGGAACTGGGATAGTTGTTATGAATGGCTGTGGACCACTATGTGGGTGCTGGGAATTCAACCCAGGTCCTCTGCAAGAGCAGCAAGTGCTCTTAACCATTGAGCCATCTCTCCAGTGCCAGGGTATCTACTCATGTTACTCAAACTCTTGATTCACCTGGCTCGGTCACAGCATAACCCAAGACAAATTTCACCTTCCTTTCCGAATTGAAAGATGCCAAAGGCAGCTTGTTATTTCAAAATAATGTCATCATTTTTATTACTTAAAAAATTTTGTGTGCCTAAAAGGGGAAGAGTGGCAAAGGTGACTGTCAGAGGACAACTTGCAGGACGTTTTCTCCAGTCACTATGTGGATCCATAGGACCAAACTCAGATCCTTACTCTTACAGTGGCAGCTTGTATCCGCTAAGCCATCTCTCTGTCCCAAGTTACTCATCATTCTTCTTAACATGGAGTGTGTTATTTCTGAATGCATTGCTTTATGCTCTCCAGTTACCACTAAGCTCCCAGCAGTTCATTAATTCTTGATATTCATTCTACAAGTAGTTATTGAGCATAAATTATACATGAGTCACTGTGTTAATCAATAAGCACAGGGAATCCTACAGTGAACACCACAAATGGAGGCCACTTTCATGGGCTGACTGTGTACATTCGATTCACACGGCTTCTTCCAATATTCACACACTCACCCCCCCACCCCCCAGTGCCTGGAAACCACAGCTGACTGTTCAGAGCACACTTCAAGGCTCAGGTTCCCTGTGAGACCCCTGCTGACCACACCCCATCAAGCAAAACTGCTGTCCCACTACAACTACTTTCTTGCATCCAGGAAGACCTGAAATATATCCCTGTGGATATTATGTTTACCTATAATTAACATTTTATTGATATATTTATTTATATCTTATACTATTTATATATGAATATATTTATGGCACATATTTAATATATTTAAATAGTATTTTATTACAACACTTTTCTGTATATGGATATACAGTTTTCCCAGGAACATTTGTTAGAGAGTCTGTCTTAACCACGTGTGCACACCTCACCTTCCCCTCTCACGCGTGTGCACACCTCACCTTCCCCTCTCACGCGTGTGCACACCTTGCCTTCTTCTCTCACGCGTGTGGACACTTTGCTCTCTTCCTTCTGCTTGGGTATTCTTTTATTCCTTTCTCTTACCTTACCTTGCTATGAAGGATGAGGGTGGATTTTGCTAGTGGTTTATTCTGCATTTATCTTCACAATTTTATGATTTCTCACTCTGATTCTATTCATGTGCTGTTTTATATTTATTGATGCACATATGTCGAAACCTTTTTGCATTCCTGAAATAAAGTCAGCATGGCCATGACTTATGATCCTTTTGCTGTATTGCTGAATTCTACTTTGCAAGTATCTTATTGAGAACTTTTGTATCTATGTTCATCAGGGAAATTGATTTATAGTTTTTATTTTTGTTATTTCTTCTCTGATTTTATTATTAGAATGACACTGGCTTCATAAAAATAATTTGATAGGGTTCCTTCCCTTTCTACTTAGGGGGCAGTGTGGGGAGCCTTGGTGGTAATTCTTCATAAGGTCTAATTGAATTCAGAAATGAATCCACATGCTTCTAGGCTCCTCTCTGCTTAAAGACTTGAAAGCTGCTTCAAACTCATTGTGCTCTCTCTCTCTCTCTGTCTCTCTCTCTCTCTCTCTCTCTCTCTCTCTCTCTCTCTCTCTCTGTGTGTGTGTGTGTGTGTGTGTGTGTGTAAGTCATCCAATTGCTCATATCCTCTAGGATCTACTTGGATATGTGGTAACATATGCTAGGAAATAGTTCCTCCTAGTCTATCTCCCCATATTTCACACTGGCGATGATAATCTGTCATTTATCTCTGAAATGACTCAAGAGGCATAGAAATAGAGATGATAATAGCAATGATATAGCATACCAATGGACTTACTATATATCAGCCTAGAAATGAAAGGTTGAAGGAATTGTTTTATCTTTACAAAATCCATTTCATTTATTCAGTTTCTTCAAGCCAACCTCCACACTACAAGACCCTCAGAGCCAGGTGTCAGGCCTTAGGGGTCCTGTTTTGAGTAGATATTATTCACCAAATAAGTATGTGCTGAATGCATCCTCTATAGACAACCACAAGTGACTCAGCTGTTGTAAGAACCTCTCATTGATATTCTCAACTAATCAGAGAAACCGCTCTTTCCAACGAAGAGACTCACAGCTGGTCAGGTGGTGGGAACAAGGATGGGTACGAGGATGAGAACAGGGGCTCAGCCTTAGACAGTCAGACCTCATCCTCTAAGGCTCAGGGGACATCAGGGAAGAGGGAAAGGGATGAACACGAGGTCTGAACAGCAGGGGGATGTGCTGGGAAATGTCATCTTCATCGCAATCACAAACTCGCAGCAACTGCTAATGTCTACACTTTGCTGGCACAGGAATGGGCCTGCTGACAATCAGCATGTACGGAGGAGGGCCTCGGGGGCCTCAGTCCTCACTGCTGAACTGGTAGCTGCTGATAAACTTGGGAAGATATGCAGTTATTGCCTTCCACTGCATACCTATGGGTGGTGGCCACACCAGGCTCCAGTAGATTGCTCCAATTCAATGGTCACACAGAGGGCCCTGGGTAAAGTAAATGGGCCGCAAAACAACCAAAGACATGAGCCTCATAAAGGGACATGAAGGGAATATGGGGGTGTTAATAGGGGCGTGAGGGTGATAAAAGTGTGAAACTGTCAAAGAACAAAGAACAAAAGAATGTCTCAATATGACACAAACAAATTGAAAATAGCATTGCTGACATTATCATAGCCCTTGAGAAACACATTTATATATGGTATTAAGTCCATTTTATGAATATATAATTTGAGTTGTAAAATTAACTCACTAAGAATGTAGGTCAAAACAAACCACAAAACTTTAGGACTGGCAAATCTTATTACCAACGCCTTAAATTCAGATAACGTATAATAATTCCCAAACTCATAAGGTGCTATTTGTTTCTGTAACACATAGTAACCATGATAATAGGCATAAATAAGGGAATATTTACAGTGCTTTCTGCTCCTACACTACTCTGGAAACAGTTTACTACGTATCATTTAGTTCTTATCACCAGATAAGATCCCGGTAAAGATGAGAAAAATGAGGTACAAGCCTGTGAGGCCCTTTGCTCAAGGCCATTTGGCTACTATGTGAAAGAAGTGCACTTGACCATGGGAATTCTTGCCACTGTCTTTGCTGTGAATCACATTTCTCTCTCATTTGCTATACAATAATAAAAGGCCATACAAATCCTCTATAGACAGTAACTTCCCCCCGTTCCCGTGATATGCCTCAAGAGTCCTCAATTTCTTCTTAATAACTTGTAGAGTATTTCAGCTATTACAAAAGTAGTAGAGAGGGCTGGGGATGTAGCTCAGTCAATGGAGTGCTTGCCTGGCTTGCACAAGGCCCCAGCTTTAGTCCGAGCACTGCATAAGCTGGACATGGTAAGATATGACTGCAACAGGCAGGATTTGGGGGGGGGCGCGTAGGAGGATCAACAGTTCAAGGTTATTCTTGGCCATATGGTGAGCTCAAAGCCTCCTGGGATACAGGAGACTCTGCCTCAAAACTGAAATTACACATATGTAAGACAAACTAGAGAGGTAAACGGAAGTCCCAGAAGGATTAGAGAGAAGGCCTAATTAGTTTGTAATCCAGGAAGAAATTCTATCAAGATAAGTTGTCATATTGACTTACCACCCCAAACATCCAATAGCTATAAGAGAAAGGTGCAACATCTATGGGCCCACGATGACCAGCTGGATTGGCCACAGGGGCTGGCACACATATTACAAGTAACACACCGAAAAAACCTCACCTGAGGTCTCAGCACCAAGCAGTAGACTTCTTAAGTTATTCACTACATTGCACCCACCCTGAGTTTTGTAAAGATTCTCAAGTAGCCATTATCTAGTTAGCTCTGTCATTCCAAATACAACAGCAGGTTGTAAGCCTGACAATGACATTGAAAACAGACCTGTAAGCCTTTAGACACGGAAGCAGCCTATCACATAGACATACATACCATAAAGGGCCTTTGCACTGGGCTTTGAACTATGTTCTCTGTCCATCTGGGAAAAGGGTGGTGAAGATCCGTAGCCACTGTAATAATAATAAATAAAAAAATGTTCATTGTCCTGGGTTAAAGTCCATAGTGGGTTACAAAAATTCAGAAACCGAGAGTTTAAAATGTTGATGTACCATAAGCACCAACTGTTTCCTTGAAAATATACTGAGTTTATACTAGCTGAGTTAGCCAATAGGAGCAAGTTCCTGCTCAGGCAAGTCATGAATAAACAGAAATATAAATCAAGTAATGCCAATGCCAATTCTGAACTACAGCAAAGAGAACCCACCAAGGCTGGAAACCACCATATTAGAATAGAAACCTTTGCTATCCAACTGCAGAGGACAGAGGAATAGCAGAGATGCAACATAGATGGTAATCTATTGCTTCCTGTTTAATAATTAAATGTGTTTCCCTACATGCAGTAACTATGACCTGTCCTAAAGAATGTTGAGTGGCATATCTGCCACAATGGCAGATATGAGAAAGCCATATTGTGCATTCCACAGAAGAGAACAGTCACTCAATTCAGGTCTGTAGCTTTGGGTGACACCAGGAGGCTTGGGGCTAACTCTGCTGGTTATTGCTTCATGTTGTTGTATGCAATGGAAGCTATCTATATAGTGTAGACTAAATGGTAATGAACATTCCTTAGCTGTTTTACAAGTAACAGCAGAATGTTCCAGAGACACCCAAAGCTGAAGTATATGATTCACATTTGATGACAAAAGGCAGTAAGACGTAAAATTCCAGTCTCAAGTATCTTTAAAGTACATGAGAGTTTCCCTGGGTCTGGTATTTACTTAGCCTTTTTAAAAATATAACAGCTTTTAATAATGTCATAGATTAGTAATAAAAAGGAGGCTACTTCTGAATGAATTAGGAATGGATTGCATAAAGAAACATAAATGATATTTTCATTTAAAATGTTTAAAACTAGCTAGGCATGGTGGCACATGACTGAAACGCTACCCCTTGGGAGGTCAATGCTTATAAGATCACACAGAAAGTTCTAGGCTAGTCAGTGTTTCCAAGTATGAACATCTCACTAAAATAAACAAACACCACTTCAAACCCTTGCCCGAATTATACAGGAACCCTTCAACTTACTTCATCTGAGAAGGGTAGACTCCATAACCACTGGGAGGGTTTGACGTATGACCATTCATGCCGGCTCTCACGCCTCTGTGCTGAGAATAGAAAGGAACATAGGTCAACAGCAATAAAGGAGTCAGGGCATCTCAGTTTTACTGCCAGAGTGATACCAGGAAGGCAAGTGACAAGGTCTCCACCTTTAAGCACTCAGGCTCAGGGGAGTACATGGACACATAATGACCCACCTGGTTTTTAATACTAATATCAAACTCTCAGCTAACTCAGTGAGTTAAAGAAAAACCTACAGTGGAATCCTTAGTCATCTAAGGGAGTAGCATATCTATTGCCTGCCCCGTGCCATCTGCCAGCTCCGTGAGATGTTATTACTTCAATATGTAATGAAAAATGTATAAAACACAGGAAAGTACACAGAGGAAAATCGGAGCCTTTAAAGATAACCACGGAAAGCTCTTGCTTAGCACCTGTAAGGTCCTGGGTTCAACCGCTAGGACCCGAATGGTATCAGATTTGATTCAACACAACCATTGGCTAGCTTTGCCAGTCACCTGTCTGCCTTGCAGCACACGTCTACCCCTCTCTCCTTTTTCCTTTCCCTCCCTTCACTGCACACTGAACAATGCCTCATTTGTTATTCTCACACACTGATTCATCTAAGACATTTCTTACGTATCCCTTCACTTCTCATGAGAAAAATCAAAATCAATGCCTAGTATTAGAAACCACTTTATGTGCATTTTATAAATGGAACAAATTTCCCTCAAATGAGTGGGAGAGAAGGCTCAGAAGGTAAAAATACTGTCGCACACATATCTAAGGACCAGAGTCTATCCCTGGGACCCATGGCGAAAGGAGAAAGTTGACTACAGAAAGTTGACCTCTGGCTTCTATGCAATGCTATTCCATGCACACAATAATTAATAAATACTAATAATATAATTTTTAAAAAGCTGTCTTCAAACAAGACACATGAGTAACAAGTAAAATGCTCGCATTATCAGAAAAGATGAAAATGTGGCTGAGCTAACTAGAATCTACTCACTTCTGCATCCACATCCTCCCTGGCTTCTCTGTCACTCACCCCGCCCTGAATCCCGCCTGTTTTTTCTACGGTGTCCTTTCATTAATGTTGATATTTCCAGTCACTCTTCAGGAAGGGCACACATGTCCCGAAGTTGTACTGTAAAGACAAGGGCCCAGGTGGGAGATGCAGGTAGCTACTGAGTACTGAATTATGACAGGTACTAAGACAGACAGTGTGACTCCTGTAGTGAACAAATTAGATGTAGCCTCAGCCATGTGGCCACAAGTCTGGAGATGAAGGCAGACCCTCACCAAATAAATATAGATTATAAAATGCAGTTGCTATCGTGAAGGGAATTCCTGGGTTAGCATGGGAGTGCACTTAAATGGAACAGTTCAGATCAAAACGACATTAAAGAAATCGTATTCAAGGCCTGGTAATTTCCATCCAGCTAATTCTTCCTCATTCTTTCATCTCTGCTCAATCACAATGTCCTTGGGGAGCTCTTATTGACTCTCCTGAACAAACAGAACCACACCATCAGATACTCCGCACACTACAAACAAACCTTCCAAGTTCGGACAACAGCTGTAGCTTCTCATTTGTTAGTTAATTCCTGACTTCACCCACACTCTTGGTTCTCAAAGGGCAAGGATTTTCATTTGAGACTGCTGTTGTTCAAAGGTGTCCAGTAGATAGTTGTTCAAATCAAGGAGTGAGACAAAAGCCTAAGTCCCTCTTGCTAAAGAGCATGTGGTCTTAGAAACATTTCTACCAAATGACCTAAGCAATTAAGTTCCAGTTCAATGGGTTCCACTTGAAACCCAGTAGAGTTTGGTGGGAGGAAAAGCCAAATTTTTAGGAAGAGCCAGTACTTGACTTTGCTCTTAAAGAAAGGTTAGAATTTATAGATCCCCAAAACACTAGAGTGAATTCCAGTTCCCTGATAGTATTTTCCAGGTTGTCTACTGCTTGAAGACAAGTGTCTAGATGACGGAGCTGAGACAGTTAGCTGTGTGTCATCTCAAAGCACATGAAATGGTCACCCTGATTCACAAGCTGCACTCCTCTGAGACAGCGAGCTACACGGAGGGCCTGAGATCTGCATTTTCCTACACGCAGCACACCACAGTGGCCTCCCTTCTGGGAGAAGTGTCCTTAACATATGAAGATGGGAAACAGCCTTGACCCCCAGAGGCTGACAATTGGCTTTAACAGCGAATCTAAATGAGCAACAGGGAGGAACAGTTACCTGCCCCTAGCTGCTGCTACCCTCTTCATATGTATCTCTCAGCAACACCAGAATTTGCTGCCGAGGGCCCCAATATTGGCCCAGATGTTCTTGCCCATGGTCTTCTGTCTACAAAGTAGGAAAGCATCACACTTGGGTCATTTATGTTGACACCACTCTCTTGTGAGACCCTTGGGTACCTTAAAACTAATAAAAACTATATTTTTTCTCTTACTCTTTGGCTTGTGTATTAATTTGGTTCCAAGATCCAGGCAAAGAGTTCATCTAAGAACTAAACAGCAGAGGGGATGCCACCGCCCCCCCCACGGGGGCCACTGGTCCCCTGCAGGGGTCACAGGGGTCACTTATGCCATATAGTTCTTGTCCAGCAAGCATGGGAACCTGAGCAAATCCGGGTGAAACAGCAGGACAAGGAGCCCATGTCTACAATTCCAGCGCTAGGGAGGTAAAACAGCTAGATCCCTTCAGCTTGACTCTGTCTCAGAACAAGGCAGACAGTACCTGAGGAGTGACATTTGAGGCCATGCACAAATGTAAATGCCCCCGTGTACACACAAATGTAGTTGAACACGCATGTACTTGCACAGACACAACGTTCACATCTACACTAGGTGAGTGTGGCTCTTATTAAATCATACCTCTATCATGTGGCTGTCTCTGTTTCTATTGCTCGTCCTCCCCTTTTTAGTTTTTGACTTGGATACCCTCCTTGGTACAGTAGTAAGCTATCTGGGGAGGATCCTTCTGATTTCCACGGTAGGGATATCCCCACCCAAGCGAGCAGTGATTCAGCCATTTACAAAAGTGCTCAGCATGTCCCAGTTTGCTCTCCGAAGTTTTCAGTATACACCTAGAACACTTGGCTGCTGCATTCCAGATTGGGAATACCCTTCAGACCTAGAGCGAAGGGGGTTAGGGTCCAGGCATTTGCCACTGAAGACTGGAACCCTAACACAGTCTTCCCTACTGTTGGGCTGAGGCAAGTCCATTAAGCCTGTCTCAGCTCTGTCATAAACAGAGGCGATTCTTCTCTTCCTAGTTCATGGGGCTGGTGTAAACATCAAATGAGGCAGACACCAGTTTATTCAAAAGTTTTCTTTAAAAGAGAGGGAGAGAGAAAGGAAGGAAGAAGAAACGGTCTTTCAAGGCAGCCTGCTTCATTCAGAATATAAATTAAAGCCCTAGGCCTTGTGCTGATTTTGATCTGGTTTGCATTTCAAAACCACAGCAGCTGGTTTTAATGAAAAGTGGTGGCCTGGGCATCCCCTCTCCTGTGTTTGCTTCTTCCTAGGAGCCTAATAAATGCATGGCTTGTGTTCTGTTTTAAAAGAGCGATCTGTCAGCCTCAGAGAACATTAGAAAGGGGAATAGAAAATGTCAATTCGCTAAACTGAATTTCAAATATAGAAAGTCGTCCCACTGGGCCACTGTAGTTTCACTTATCACTGTGGTCAGGTGGCATTCCACATGGAGGTTTCAGATGTCTAAACATAGCCATCACAGAACACTCCTCCCAAAGGAAGCAGTGTGTTGTCCTTATTCCCCCCCCCTCCCATTTGGGCTTTAAAGACAAGCTCAATTTAATGCCTACTTAGCACCTAGACAGAAGTTAAGAGAGAAGTCAATGCTTACCAAGAAAACATTTGTTTTTATTTTCACAATCTTTATCACTTTATGGGCTTGCAATTTCCATCTACTGAGGAATGGTGGAAACCCATTACAATAGTTGCAAGGATAGGATTTAAATAGCCACTTTCAATTTCCCCATGAAATATTCTTCTCAAGTCATTGTTATTTCAACTTTCCTTGTTTTCGAAGAAAGTAACATCCTTTGATGATTGCAAAGATAACAATGCAAGACACAGTACACCAAAGATTACAATTTTCAGTCAATGAAAACCCACTCAAAGAATAAATAAATGGGATTATTGTCAGACTAAACCAACAAGTTAAATTCATAGTAGAAAGTATATCTGCTAGCTTGGAACTCACTATATAGACCACAGAGATCCACCTATCTTTGCCTCCAGACTACTGAGATTAAAGGCATGTGCTAACTATACCCAGCCAATTTTAGCCAAAACCTTATGACATTGTCTCCCAATAGTTTTACTTAAAAGATGAAGCCTGGACTGGCCACACAGGGAAACAGAGAGTTTGCGGTTTGCCTGGGCTACAGAGTAAGTTCAAGAACAACCTGGGTTGTTCTTAAAACAAATATTAAAAAAAAAAAATGTAAAGGGCTGGGAGTGTAACTCAGTGGCTGAGTGCTTACATAGCCCACACAAGACTCTAGGTTTGGTCTTCAGCATGAAACAAAAACAAAACAAAACCAACTTAAAGTCTACTCTAGGTATAGATAAATTGTTATTATAAAATAAACCTTCAATGTTACAAATACTTTTGGCTTTACCAGAGAGTTATAAAAGACATTACTCCACAGAGTTCTGTTATGCACCATGGCCTTATTTACCTTAGTATGCTATTTGGAAAATGGTGAACCAATGTCAATTATTCACTGAAGTCAAACCTCATTCTGTTATTGACCAGCCATCTCCCTTGGTTCCAGGATTATCTCTGCTATACTGTTATGTTTAGTTCTTACATTTCCTTCAGCTCCTGTAGGCAGGTATCTCCCCTTTGCTTTTGGAGGCTCTATTTGACTCCTGGGTCTGCCAGATACAGCTTATTACAGACTGCCTTAAGACAACATAAGCCCCTTCATTTGCCTCGAAATCTGAAACGGAAGATTCTGTAGGCTGAACTTCCTCTGACAGATCCGAGGGCTTTCCCTACCAAAG